AGGACAGAGTTCGCTTCGAGGTTGATGACACGCCGGCACCCAGCATGCTGGAAAGAATTCTTCTCAACAACCAGGAGATGATGAACTGCGATCAAGAGCAGCCCACGATGGCCGGCGTGCAAACCCTTAAAGCGTGCCTCGTGAAGTTCTGGAGTCTGGATTTAAGCCCAAAGGAGTACGCTTATCTCAAAGGCACCGTCATATTCAATCCAGGTATGTTTTCCAAAATCAAAACTGTGTTGCACAAACTATTTAAACTGCCTATATTTTTTATATTTGTTTAATTGCATCTTTTTATGAAAGACGCCACTGATGTCTCTATGAAATTGATTATTTTCTCAATTTTAGCCATTAATTATAGCCAGTCATATATATATATATATATATATTTAGTTATTAAAACAAAATATATGTAGTTATTTATATATCATTTATTTTTATTTTTTTACCCTAAAGTATTGCTTTTAGCCACAGAGTTTATAATATACTTACCCAATATTTTCCATCTGCAGATGTTCCAGGCCTGAAGGCATCTCTGTTCATTGAGGGTTTGCAATATGAAGCTCAGCATGCCCTGAAGGAGGTCCTAGTGCCTCTTCATCCAGAGGATAAAGGGCGATTTGCTCGAATCCTCCTCACCGCATCCACTTTAAAGACCATCACTCCGAGCCTCATCACAGAGCTCTTCTTTCGGCCGGTCATTGGTCAGACAGATCTTCTGGACTTGCTGATTGACATGCTGTTCACAAGATAGTGAACCAAAGACTCACGTACTGCTTGAATTTGGACTTTCAAAAGAACATTGTTTTCTCCAGTGCTGGTGGGAAAACTGAGGTCCAAGCATTGGATGAAAATCATACTTCGTTACGCCTGAAAAAGTTACAGACTTTAGCACATCTTTATTGTTTACACAGTTTAATGAAATTACTGCACCTTTGTAATGGTATTTAGGTCACAAGTATGTGATTTATGTCTTAGTATTGATTGCTGTTGTTGTTTTTTTGCCTTTTGATAGAAGCACCGTTGCAGCTTATGGGATGGATTTTAAAACTACAAAGTATTTCTTGATAAAACTGTAGAAAGCATCTCTGCGCCTAAGGGGGGGTTCATGTATTGTCTCTGTGAGAAAGCTAGGTTAAATCTAAGGAAAACATTTGTATGTTCATAATTATACTGCAATTAAATATTTTTATACATTTTGCATTATCACTCTGAGTCTAGTGTTTGCCATATACTTTTAAATCGCTTTTATAAATACTTTTTTGTACAAATTGGAACAATTATGACAATCACATTTTCATAAGAGAAACCCTAAAACATTTGAATCACTGCACATCAGCCCCATACAATTATTTGGAGACTTAAATTATAGTTAAAATGGCTAAGTAACTTGCAATGCGACTTTCCATTTCCATTCCATTTCCGGTGAGATGAATAACTGAACACCACTCTTTTAAACATGCTATTTAACAATGTGGAATATTTTTAGTTTTGCATCCTATTTAGTGATTAGTAATCTAGTATTTAATTCCAATTTTAATCTGTCAAAGTTTATTTGCAAACAATAGTTTCTGCAGCCTCATGCTTTGCTAGTGTTATACAGCTTCATTTGTGAAAATGGTCAAATTGCGCAATTGGAATATAAAAAGTTGTGCCAGCTGGTACGTGTAACCAGAGGAAGTCTCGGGCCTCGTTGACACTGTCAGTGAAATGTGACCCAATTCCTATATTTTTTTTTCTTCTTCTAATATGTGACAGATCGGATTCGGATGTGTTCTATGACCGTGTACACTGGAAAAAAAACGCATGCATTTGGATATTTCGAGATCGTTTACAGACCTCGTTCATATGTGTAAATTAATCAGATATAAATCAGATATGTGCCAATGCGACTTGTCATGTAGCCTAAACAGGCAGATCGGTTTTTCTGAGGCCTTAGGCTACGTCTCCGCGGTTTAATGACGAGAGAAACCCCGACGCGCATCTGCAAAGACGCGGATGGCCCGACGTACGAAACGTCGTGTCGTCGTAGGAGAGGAATGTGGACACACATTGACACAACATATCAAAGGTTGGCTCGCTCATCCTAAAATTTCGGACCCACTGCTCCTCGTTAAAGCCCCCCACGATCTCATGAAAGTGCGTATCTATAGCACGAATTTTATTTATCGTGCCATATACGCCAAAAATAGTTTTTGCGTGCATATGATATGCAAGGCAAGGCAAGTTTATTTATATAGCACATTTCATACACAATGGTAATTCAAAGTGCTTTACATAGAAGAAATTTTAAAAAAAATCTAAAGAAATAACAATAATTAAAACAGTTTAGAATAAAGAAATTAAAATAATCAAAAGAAATAAGAATAATTAAAACAGTTTAGAATAAAATATATATATATATATATATATAATACAGTACAAACAGTCAGACGAACAGTGGCACAGTGCTCATTCAGTAAATGCATAGCTAAACAGATGTGTTTTGAGTCTGGATTTGAATGTGACTACTGTAGGAGCACATCTGATCTCCTCTGGAAGCTGGTTCCAGCTGCGGCTGGCATAATAGCTAAAAGCAGACTCTCCATGCTTAGAGTGAACCCTTGGTATTTCTAGCTGATGTGATCCTAATGATCTGAGTGATCTGTTAGGTTTATATTCAGTGAGCATATCTGCAATGTATTTGGGTCCTAGGCCATTATATACCAGTAATAATAGCCTACTTTAAAATCAATCCTAAATGTAACTGGGAGCCAGTGTAAAGACCTGAGGACTGGTGTGATGTGTTCATATTTTCTGGTCCTGCTCAGAATCCTGGCAGCAGCGTTCTGTATGAGCTGCAACTGTCTGGCGTGTAATACGCACGCACTCCACACCCCTAATCCAACCCAAGGGTTTAGTGCGTATCATGCACAATAACTGAAGCATGCGCAGGCTGCAATGATGGCCCTTTTCGTCTGCCTCAAAATCATGGTGATGTTTGGCGAACTTCGCATATCGCAAAGCTAGCATCAAGCCTATTTCTCGTTCGTCCATCTGTGCAAGAACCCCCTTTAAGCATGAGCGATGTTTCAGATAGTAGGCTATGTCAAGTGTAAACACATGAATCGGATATGGGTCACAATTGAAAGAACGTGTAAAAAAACGGACGGTAAAAAAAAATCGGATATAGGCTAGGCAACAAATCAGAATTGGGCATCAAGACCAGCAGTGTAACCAAGGCCATGCAGGGTCAGTGGCACAAAGGTAGATGCAGCGTTTGCACAGCACATTTGTTTTTATAGCAGATGATTGCTCAAGTGACTTACAAGAAATTCTATTCAGTCGCTTTAGTGATGTCAGGATATAAATTGAGCTGCAATATATTAGAAAAACAGGCCCAAACCTAGAGTAGGCCTACCTCTCACCACTGGCACTAACTATACTGCAAAGCACATGTATATTTCAAGTTTTTTGTTTCTGTTTTTTAAAACCATGTACAACTGTTTGCAGTGAAAAAAAATGTTCAAACATTGCATGTTTACAAATGAAAATAAAAATGGTTCATTTGCATTATTTTAATTAAATCTGTGTTAGAATTCACATTGCATTGTATAGGGATTGTGTGACTTTAGCATGCATGGACAAAAGTTATGCACATTTTATGCATTTAGAGTATGCACACAATATGCAACGTACAAAATATGCCTGGCCAAAAAAGTAGCTGTTTGGATTTATATAGGTAAATGCTTAAGAGTCTATGACTGGATCATTATTGCAGTGGTTATTATGTTTCTATCATGTTATATGTTTGGCAACAGTTCTTCTAACCCTAATTGATGGAGTGTGTAGCTTTTCATTTCTTAAACAACCATGTAGGAAGACACATCATGGGCATATTCCAGGATGACAATGTCATGATTCATCAGGCTCAAATTGTGAAAGAATGGTTGGAAAGAACTTTTGCCAAACATATAACATGCTAGAAACATAATCTCTGCAATAATGATCCAACCATTGACTCTTAAACCAATGACAACGCACACACACGATCTTGACTCACACAGTGCCTAGCGGCTCTAGGTTCAGGTTCCTCTGTCATGATAATGTGTGCAATGCTACCCTCTGGTGACGATTAAGGCCCACACAAACAAAAAAGCTGTTTTACATACATTTCTACACATACAATGTGGAATACTACCTATGCCAACTTTTTTTTTTTTTTTTTTTAAATATAGTATATGCAACAATGCATTATAGAAAGAGAACCATTTGAAATAGAAGTCCGTTACATTGCAATCACATGTCTGCATGTCGGGCATGTCTTCGGGCATGTCTTCCACCATGACATCCATTTATCTCGGAAATAAAATGGTTATTTGGATTTTAAGTCTTATCTTTCATAAACATCTGAACTTTTGCCATTCTGACCAAACAATTAGCTAAGAAAGATGTTCATGCTGTGTCATTGTGTATCACACATTTTCCCACTGTGTTCTTGTCACGCCATTAATGGGGTCTGAAATGTTTTACAATCCAAAAGCAATACAACAAAATGCTAGCACACACATTTAGCTTCCATGTTAAAAAAAGAAAATTAGTAAATTCTTCCTATTAACCCTTAAACCTGTATTTCATAAATCATGAAAGTAGCTTAGTAAATCAGAGTATCTCTTTTATAGTAGGCGGCATAGTGTCAAAAAGAGGACAGTTGAAAGGGGAATTTTCTCTGGAGTTTGCCCCTCCTCCGCAAAGTACAACTCCAACAAACACTAGGATTTTATTTCCTTTCTATTGTCAAACCAGCCAAACAAGTTCATAGCACAGTGACCTGAGGGAAACAGAGGGAGGAGGCGTACACCAATGCAATCTTCCGAGAAAAATGCTCTAACACGTTTGAGTGTAAATATGTTATACATGATACAGGACTAGATTTGTTTTCTAGAACAACACCGCTCACTTTAATAGATAAAATGGAGCATATCGTTTAAATTAATACAACAATGAGTAAATACAAAAAATGAGGGGAAATTCCCTTTTTATTTCAATATAAAAAAAGTTACCAAAAAACTACATCTATACAAGGTATTTAAAAATTCCACCATACAGATGTGGGTGTATCATCTGACCGTGAACAGTCCCAAAACAACATTAAATTGCATTAAAACGTTTAAACAAAGAACAGTTGTTCATCTAAGGCAACATTGAAGGACGGGCTAACAGAGCAAAGCAGTCCGATGAACAGCAACTGATTGAAGTCTCTTTGTTGCTATTAATCAGTGCTCAATACAGGCATATTAATAGATACATCACCACTTAGGACGACAGCAGACTTGTCTCCGAAAGTATAATTAGATCCAATACTTAAATACCCTTTGATGCCAATGTTTTGTTGAGGAAACTTGTCCATTATGTAACTATCTATCTGCATGGCTTCTGGCGAGGGTAGTAGGGAACCATCAAGTGCAACATTTCTTTTGCAACAGGCTCCTTTGTTGAACATTACACTCTGTAGGAACATGACAAAAACTGTGCCTAAATGGACAACAGCAGTCTTCGGGCATTCAGACAAACACAAACTGTCCTGAGCATAATAACTGCTTTCACTGAAATATAAGAGGAGCACAAGGACAGTAGAAGAACACTAGTTAGGCAGTAGTAATTGAGAGCGAACAGCTGGCGTGTTAGCGCAATAGCGGAGCCCCCGATGAATCTGTGGCCGAGCTCGAGTAGTAATCTGTGAAGGAAAAGAACATGTTGGTATTTACAAGCGGTTTGAAGTTGGTGTATAACATGCTAAGTGCAACTCTGCATGCAACAAATGTTTTGTATAAAGGTACAGTCGCATGTAGTGTTGCTAGGTGAAATTTAGTATGCAAAATCCAGTAGTTTCAATGGGAGTCGGCACAATGATGGACTTCCTGTGGTAAAATTTAATCAGGTTCGAGTTTGGTGCACTTTGATACGTGAATTCAGAGTCGATCAATAGCAAGCCTCTTGATTTGGCTGTGACCTCTATGTGGGGGGAGTTTCGTAATTTCACAACAAAGCAAAATGAAACATCCACAACGGACGGGCGCTCGTTCTGGCAGTTATTTACTCTAGTTTTGTATAAAGCTCCAGTACACTAGTTCTGTATAAAACTACACATCAATATCATAAATTGATTCCATTTTGTTTATTCATTTACTTAGGATGTTTACTTCGTCATCATTATTACTTCATGGTATTTTGTCACATCTGGTCCCGCTTTCTTTCACCTACAAAATTTTGCAGAGCAACATTAAATGTGACGGCACCGTAATCTCACTTGACTGCACTTTTCAAAATAATCAATACTGAATTACAATTTTTTTTTTCAATACATAGTTTTGTATAGTTTGTAAAGAGACATCGCACTTTTTTACACATCTTTTGCATAGAAAGATTCCATAGCGCAACAATTCCACAGAAAAGTGAGACCCCTAGACATGTTACAGAATGAGAGCACCACCATTATGTGTGGAATGGTAGATGTGATTCGATATGGAGAAATACTGGATAAACTCCTTGGAGGCGAGCTAAGACCCCTCAAGAACTTTTGTAAAACGAGGTGAGAAGCTTCAGTGTTCACTGTCAAAAGCTTTAGGCTCAGCAACTACAGTTTATGGAGAATGGGTGGGTGGGTGAGGACATTATTCTTGAGGGGGAGGGGTGAAGATCAAAGGCAGGAATGCCCATTTGAAAGTAGAGAATGAGAAACATTTAGAATTGGAACCATTACAATAGAGCATTGAGAAAAGAATACCCCATCCTCGGGGTGCAATTCCACCATGTTCATATCCCAACGCGTAAATTATCTTTTCACATCAAGCCAGCTAAAGGCTAATTCAACGGCAACAGTCGCCAGATTACAGAGTCACTTTTCAGACATTCCAAGACCCAAAAAACACTGATTCAACATGTTCAATTGGCCAAAAAAAAATGGAAACAGACACCGACATGGGTTACACATTGATCCGACAAAACAAGCTAAATGTGTCAGTTGCCTTCGGTCAGTATCTGTGCAATGTGAATTGGCCTCAACATGGGGGCTGTACTAGAACAGACACGATAAGGAGAACGAAGAATGTTGACACTTACTTTTCCCGCTTTGGCCTCTCATATTTCGGGCAAGCTCATCCGACGGTGTCAACTCTGACACTAGCACCTCGGGATCCCCTGCAGGGAAAGACAAATATGATCAAAAGACATTCAAACATCATCGTTCCCTACTGACAGCCTTACAAACAGAACTACCATCACTCACCGTCACTAAAGGTAAAGGTCATGGTCTCATTCCCACTGTCGGGCAGCGTTCCATCCCTCCTCCCGTTAGTATGCTGTATTGCATCATGCGATTTATAGTCTTTGCTTTTGTAACCTTTTGAGGACTTGTTGCGGGTGCTGATGCGTATGACACCGTGCACAAGCCGACACTCTGCTTCCTGCTCCTCCAAGTTGTAGTCCTGAGCAATGCTGTTGATCAGATCGCTGATCTCATTGGTTTTACGAGAGAAGGACACATCAGACGTGCATTTTGCCAGCTGCTCAATCTGGTGCATTTTATAAAGTTCTAGAAGCTTTTTAGTGATAAGCGAGTCGATATCAGTGCCGCCATCATCCAGGTCATCTAGATCCAAATCCTCTCGAGAGTAGATACTGGTATTACTGATAGGCCGCTGGTTGTCACCCTTCCCCGCTGTCCTGGTCCGTCGTGGATGTGCTTCTGAGTTGGCAGGGTAGTCCACCTTCTTGCCAGCAAGGTAGACGTCGCCATACCTGAAGCTGCCAGAGCTTGGTAGCTTTGGCTTGCTGGATTCAAAAGTTACACCACACGTGGGGTTGGTCAGTGCCAATCCATTGGGCTTTCCGGGTTCTGGCTCAGGTTTTAAAGTGTTGTCAGTGGAGCTCTCATTGGGTGGCAAGCAAGGTTTGCGTGACCCATAAAGCCCACAGGTGAGAATGCAGCACAGCAGAGCTTTGCAACCACTCCAGCCGAGGGAGGCACACGAGCCACAGGCTTGAGTGCCCTGAGGAGAGTCTGCAGATCCTGGTATAAAGCCCAGGGTTTCCGAGCCTCGTCCATTGGCGTAGTGTGGATGGGTTTTACGGGTGAACTGCGAGTCTATGCTACGAGGTTGCTCGCTGTAGTTCTCCTTGCAGGTCTCTTGACTCGTGCTGCTGTCCCTGGAGTATGTGCGGTTTTGCCTGTAGCCATCAGCCCTGGAACGGCTTGAGCTATGAGGACGTGTCTTGTGATGTGTTCCTGTGCTGTGGCCAGGCATAACTCACCACATTCAGGACCTGCAGGAATGTGGACATTAATGCATCAAGATTGATCAGAGCTGAGAGAGTTCACAAAACATTGATTCTTAGGCATGTTTCAAACATCTCACTTAAAAAGAGCCAATATTATCAGGTTGCAGAATTCACACTGCACACAGAAAAAGCGCAGCTCAATCATACTCATACATGTAAAGATGAGCTGAGCCCATTTTTGCTGAACATTGCATGCATGATTTAAATACAGCATTATCAACATCTTTTGCGATTTAAAAAAAACGCATGTCGCAGTAAAAAGCATGCACTTATTAATCAGAAAATCTAATTGAATCCAGGCAATTTAAGCAGTTTACAACATCACTTTAGATTTACGACATTTTCAGATTTGGCCATTTAATTACGACTTCTATATTAATGTGGTCTTTCTCCTCACTTTAAGTAAATTTCATGACCGTTAAATTTGTAGTTCTCAATCAGGTTTTTAATAGCCTAAACATTCTTGTCATTTATGGCTGAACAAATAAATACTTGTGTATGCTGTTGCAGTTACTCTTTAGATGAAAGATATGTGAAACAGGCCTTGTTATACAGTATTTAAAAGATATGTTCAAAGCAGAAACAACAACAACAACAACAACAAAATCACTGTAAACAATGCCTGCAAAGGAAAATGACGAATGTTATTTAGTGAATATACATATACATAAAAGTGTTAAACAGGCCTTGAATTCTTCATTCTAGGTTCATTGCACAATTTTACTTCCTCAACCCTGGAGATATAACAGAAATTCAACAACCGTGCAATGGTGAAATCAAATAATGAAAGAAAATACTTTCTAAATTATAAACCAATCACTAAATTATATTGAAAAATATACGATTGGCCATATGCGTCAAACTACCATGCAGTGGACATGTTCATACTGTGTCTGTGTCTACAACTAAGCGTTAAAAGGCATTCCAAACATGTGAACAGCAAACTGATCTGTATCTAGATACCGTAGAATGGTTGTTTATCTATACAAGCCTGGAAAATGTGAACATGGTTCGGAGAAGTTATATCAGCACAACCATATCAAGATATTATTATTACACATGAAAAAAAGCTAATCTTGAGCTACATCTTATGTAGCGCTTGCTTAGCATGTTTACATTTATGAAAGAGGGTTTTCTTTGGTGGGCAGGAATTACTCGATCATCAAGTTATTCATTTTAACATGTGTTTTTAAATACACTCCCTGGTGACTTCACCTTTCATGGTCTGTGTTTGGCTTGAGGTTTGCGTTCTTTGTCAAGAGTGATGTGTGTTTGATGAATATGGTCACCGATTCTCAGAAAGCAACATGCCAGTCAAAAAATTCCAGAAATAGATGATAAGTATTGTCATTTGTCATTAACCTTTGACAGATGATCTATAAAGTGGATGGGAATGGAATGTATAGAAATTTCTGCTTATTTGCTTCTGGTCATTGTCAGTGGTGAACATAGAGTTAAGTCGGATGTAGAGCAGGCCTGTAAGTGTGCTCTGGCTAGTCACAAACACTATATTTGAGTATTTTAACAGATGGAATATATGTACTACTGCCTTTATTGGCAAAATGCAATTTGTCTGTCAAGTACAATATTAAATGCTTCATTGTTTAGTCTTCAGCGTCTCTAACTGTTCTCGTATGTAGCTATGCCATGGCAGTAAAAGAACAATATTTATCAACTTCACAGAAATATGTATGGCTAATCTATCATCATTTGATATATCCTTTACACCCACTGCAAGCGCCACACTAGAACGCGTCCACTAGGTTCCATTGATCGCGAGCGTTCTAGTGAGTCGCTCGGCGTCGTTCGCAGAGCAGATGGTTTGTCAAAGTGTCAGACACTTACCGCATAGGCTCGGATGAAATCCTCAATTGTTTTGAACGCAACTTCTAGTCGTTCAAGATCGCGGAAGTAGCCGAGTGTGAAATATGTTCCCTTTGACTCCTTAAAACTTCCACTTCAGCGACCTTTGTTTTGATTCATTGACTGAAAATGGGTCAAACGTTTCGATTTCGATGTCGCGCAACACGCGCTTTCAGATTCTGGTCATACTAAGCTTTGATCGGTAAGATTCGTTCCTTCGCCCCGCCGTGCCGTATTTTACCTGCGGCTACAGGTAAATCCAACGCCCACTTACAGGTAAGCAATGACGTCAGGCCTTTAAACGGATGTTGCGTAAACCTCCTAAATACCCTTTGTTCCATGACTTTTGCTTTCCTTTTAATCAAGTAAAAACCTGACTATAATATTGTCAGCGTTTATACGGTAGGCTATAGTGTGGAAAAAGTATGTTCTTGGTTAATTTGTGTATGTTCTTATAAGAGAAAATGAATTCAAACATTCACTTCATAATATTACAAGTGTCATTCATTCTTGACTATAGCTACAAATAAACAAATCTGAGGTAATTGTCATGCACCAAACTCAAAAATACATTTGTAACAGGTCAATTTCTAAGAAGTTCTCTTGATCTAATATCCATTATTTGCATTTGCATAAGGGACACGCAGTGCTTATCTAGATGTTAAATGTGAGTAACAGTCTATTAAAATAAAAATATATATGCAATTTCAATAATATTAGAAAAGAAATAGAAAATGTGTTCCTGAGGGTTGAAACAGGTCCTGAACTAAATAATTCCCACAGTCATTGAAATACTGAAATTCCCAAATCTAAAAATGTCTTGAAACAAATAGAAATCTTAAAAAGTAATAGAAAGTTTGGCTTTCTGGTTATGCTCAGTCTGAAGTATTTCCCCTTGAGAAGATGATTTAACAAAAATCCTTATCAAATACTCATGAATAACTGAAATTGTCATGGTAATTAATTGGTCAAAAGCAGAGGGAACTCCAAATTGAATGTACAGTACATGTATAAGTATAAATATTCTCTGTGGAATGATGCATATAAATAAATGCTCTAAAAAATGATATAAATGCAGACACACTACAGGTTCATTGACACTGCTTCACATAGCAACAGAAACATTTTAGTTTCCTTTGAGTGGACAACGTTTTAATGTTATGGTACATAACTGTATGCACACACACAAGAGGTGTTTCCCCCCCCAAACATGCTGTAAAATATTGCTTTGCCAAAAGTGTAGACACAGATTAATATGGGCTGTCTGGTCTTGATCAATTGCAGTCATTAGTTCCAGGCTCTAGCAAGCACACATGCACACGGAGAGATTCACATGCTCGCAGAGAACATTAGACTCCAAATCCTTCATTGTGCCCCATTTCCCCCAATACACCCCTTCATTTCCCTCCTTTCCTCAACCGTAGCGAAATATTGAGGACACAATCTGTAGCAGCGAATGCTGTGGGCCGCGCCAACTAATGTGATGGAGTGCAGCGTTTCAATCTGCTGAACAGGTTATGAAATATAATGGAGAGTATAATTCAGTCAGATAGGGTTAGATGCACATGAGAAGTCATTCAGTGCGTCTTCAGATCTCCTTTTATAAACCCCAGAAAGTTTGGCAAGACAACAATAGACTGATAATTCAGATGATGTTTTGAGCTCATCAATGATTTTTTTTTAGATATCTTAGTAAATATTTAAAAAGTATAATTCCAGCATGTTTCTGGATCAACATCTTTGTTGATCCTGGAACAAGATTCCAATCAACCGATCAGATTTGAAGGACAAGTTTACAGTTTATGTCAAGTTTAGGCTTACAACCAGGGTTAGGTGCTTCTACATCAGTGTTATTCACCTCTTATTTCCCTCAGATTTTTTTATGGATATGTTATGGGTTAGTTTAGAGTTAGGGATAGAGTTAGGACTATATTTTCAGACAGGGATGTTGTTCCAGGATTAACAAAGTATTTTGATCCAGGAACATGTCTTACTTGGCAAAATCACGGTGCCAAGATGTAAATGTAGGGTGTTGTGGCTTTTAGTCCATGTTGGTTAATGCTACTGTAATCCTACACATTAACACAGTAGATAAAGTATATGCTTTAACAATTTCTCCTTGTGGAATACAGACCAAAAATTGCGTTGACTGGTGGATGTTGTCCAATCTAATGTATATTGTATTAGCCTACGTCATGCATATATTGTAATTACATAAGCCATCAGCCAGCCATCTCTCTAGTTAATGGTATCTGCTGACCACTAGTCTCAATGACATGATTTCCTTGATTTGGTCTATTTAGAAAAAAGTCCACTTTGCTACAGACTGAAATATATTTCTATTAAAAATGGGTTCATTGTGCAGTTCTTTGCAGTTCAGTTATAGTGTCACATCCGATGGAATCTGTGTGATACGGGAGTCAGAAGGGATGTGCCCCAAATGTGGGTCCATTCGAGGCTGACCCTGCCGAATGTTTGGAACACGCCCCAGTCGTGGGTCGGAGTCAATTTCGTAACGATAATGATACCCCTCCAGAACATTTTGGCATGCTTCATGTATGTCTGTGATCCATTTCTTGATACCCTTTCTGTTGAGGTAGACAACGAATAGAAAGACCATGCCAACGAATCCCAGCACTAATCCAAGGAACACGTAGGAAGTATGTAGGGACAACTCTGTAATCTCTTCGTGCGGTTTACCGTAACACCCCAATGCCTGTGCAGTGAGACCCCGCAAAGACACTTCACGCAGCGCTGCGGGGTATTCGCAATACAGCCGGTCTGCATCGCCCACCCTGACCTTTGAACTGTTTAGCCAGTTCGCAAACTCTTGTGCTTCACACGTGCACACGTAAGGATTCTGACCCAACATCAGACGGACCCGACCGAGTCGCTCCAACTCGTAAAGACCCTCGTCGGTGATAGTTCTAAATGCATTTCTGCTCAAGTCCAGCTCCAAAAGTTGTTCAATACCAGAGAAAGTGCTGTTGTAGACGGCCACCAGAGAGTTGTTGTTCAGATGGAGATGCTGCAGGTTTGGCAGAGGAGAGAACATCCCCGGGGGTAAGAGGACAAGGTGGTTGTCCGACAGGTCAAGGCGCAGCAGATTTGTGAGCTCGCCCCAGCGCAGGGCAGTGATGAGGTCAGTCAGAGATGTGTAGTTGTAGAGAGACGAGCGAAGGCTGAGCTCCTGCAGGGGGCTTCCAGGCACGGAGAACGCCTCTGGATGGATGAGCACCAGCTGGTTGTTGTTCAGGATTAGAGAACGCAGCTTGTGCAGTGAGGAGAACACATGCGATCCAACCTCCATAATGCTGACAAAAGAATGGAAAAAGTTTTTTAAATGGATTTTACATTTTTTTAAATGATTTTTAGAGGATTCTAAATGGTGGAATACAAAAATGAAAGAGCATGACTAAATCTATATTACTTTGAGAATCGATAGATTGACAGACAGACATGTCAATTGACAGACAGATAGATCGATAGATTATATAGATCAATCGACAGATAGACAGACAGACAGTTAGATAGATTGATACACAGACAGACAAACAGATAGATAGATACACAGACAGACAGACAGATAGATAGATAGATAGATAGATAGATAGATAGATAGATAGATAGATAGATAGATAGATAGATAGATAGATAGATAGATAGATAGATAGATACACAGACAGATAGATAGATACACAGACAGACAGACAGACAGACAGACAGACAGATAGATAGATAGATAGATAGATAGATAGATAGATAGATAGATAGATAGATAGATAGATAGATAGATAGATAGATAGATAGATAGATAGATAGACAGACAGACAGACAGACAGACAGACAGACAGACAGACAGACAGACAGACAGACAGAAGATAGATATTTACTGACCATATCTTTTCTTACCCATTATTCATCAGGTTCAGGTGTGTGACGTTCTGCAGTCCGTTGAACGCGCTGTGCTCGAGTCTGTGAATCGTGTTTCCAGTGATGATCAGGCTGATCGTGTCGCTCGGGATCGCCGCGGGGACTCGGAACAGCGCGGCAGACGCGCAGCGCACCGTATGTTCAATATCAGAACACTCGCAGCGCGACGGACACAACGCGACGCATGAGGAGACGCACAGCATCGCGCAGACAAGCGTCAGCGACAAAGCCGGCAGCATCATCCAAACTCTCACACTCGCAGACCGGAGCATCTGATCACCGTCTGCACGGGCTGCGCTCTTCAGTGGAAGTGCACATGCTGTAGTACAACAACACACAGGACTGACTGTCCCCCTCACTCTAGGAGATCATTACTAACTCATTACTTTACCCAGAAACACCTCCTGATCATGGCTATAAGCGGGTGGGTGGAGCTGCATATACTCTACACATCCATCCAGTCAGAGTACTGAGGATAGTATATACAGGTCCTTCTAAAAAAATTAGCATATTGTGATAAAGTTCATTATTTTCCATAATGTAATGGTAAAAATTAAACTTTCATATATTTTAGATTCATTGCACACCAACTGAAATATTTCAGGTCTTTTATTGTTTTAATACTGATGATTTTGGCATACAGCTCATGAAAACCCAAAATTCCTGTCTCAATAAATTAGCATATTTCATCCGACCAATAAAATAAATGTTTTTAATACAAAAAAAAAAAAGTCAACCTTCAAATAATTATGTTCAGTTATGCACTCAATAGTCAATACTTGGTCGGGAATCCTTTTGCAGAAATGACTGCTTCAATGCGGCGTGGCATGGAGGCAATCAGCCTGTGGCACTGCTGAGGTGTTAGGGCCCTTACATAGTCAACGCATCGGTACGCATACGCGTGCGCAAGGCTACACATCGCTACGCTTCGGCCGCCATTATGCGTCGATGCGTAGCCAAATGTGTCGTCCTAGTTTTTGATACGCGACGCGCCGATGCACGCAATACTATGCGTTGTCGGTGGGGGCGACATTGCAAGTAATGTACATAAAAAGGTATATTATTATGTTTACAGAAGAAGAAGATTTGAATACAATGGCGGGCGAAGAGGAAAAGTTATGCGAGCTTGTTCGTATACATCCTTTGTTGCCGCCGATGTAAAATCAGCAATATGCACTCCTCTTCAGTTGCCATTTTGATCTGAATATTACGTGACCCGACTCTAGACTCTACTACCCCCTGCTGCGCAATCGGTGTATTGCATTTCACGCATCGCCGGTGACGCTTGTGTACTATGAAAAGGAGCGCGTAGCTCGCGTCGCTCGCGTTGCTTGCTCGCGTTGCTCGCGTTGACTATGTAACGGCCCTTATGGAGGCCCAGGATGCTTCGATAGCGGCCTTAAGCTCATCCAGAGTGTTGGGTCTTGCGTCTCTCAACTTTCTCTTTACAATATCCCACAGATTCTCTATGGGGTTCAGGTCAGGAGAGTTGGCAGGCCAATTGAGCACAGTAATACCATGGTCAGTAAACCATTTACCAGTGGTTTTGGCACTGTGAGCAGGTGCCAGGTCGTGCTGAAAAACTAAATCTTCATCTCCATAAAGCTTTTCAGCAGATGGAAGCATGAAGTGCTCCAAAATCTCCTGATAGCTAGCTGCATTGACCCTGCCCTTGATAAAACACAGTGCACCAACACCAGCAGCTGACATGGCACCCCAGACCATCACTGACTGTGGGTACTTGACACTGGACTTCAGGCATTTTGGCATTTCCTTCTCCCCAGTCTTCCTCCAGACTCTGGCACCTTGATTTCCGAATGACATGCAAAATTTGAGCAACAGTCCAGTGCTGCTTCTCTGTAGCCCAGGTCAGGCGCTTCTGCCGCTGTTTCTGGTTCAAAAGTGGCTTGACCTGGGGAATGCGGCACCTGTAGCCCATTTCCTGCACACGCCTATGCACGGTGGCTCTGGATGTTTCTACTCCAGACTCAGTCCACTGCTTCCGCAGGTCCCCCAAGGTCTGGAATCGGTCCTTCTCCACAATCTTCCTCAGGGTCCGGTCACCTCTTCTTGTTGTGCAGCGTTTTTTGCCACACTTTTTCCTTCCCACAGACTTCCCACTGAGGTGCCTTGATACAGCACTCTGGGAACAGCCTATTTGTTCAGAAATTTCTTTCTGTCTTACCCTCTTGCTTGAGGGTGTCAATGATGGCCTTCTGGACAGCAGTCAGGTCGGCAGTCTTACCCATGATTGCGGTTTTGAGTAATGAAACAGGCTGGGAGTTTTTAAAAGCCTCAGGAATCTTTTGCAGGTGTTTAGAGTTAATTAGTTGATTCAGATGATTAGGTTAATAGCTTGTTTAGAGACCCTTTTCATGATATGCTAATTTTTTGAGACAGGAATTTTGGGTTTTCATGAGCTGTATGCCAAAATCATCAGTATTAAAACAATAAAAGACCTGAAATATTTCAGTTGGTGTGCAATGAATCTAAAATATATGAAAGTTTAATTTTTATCATTACATTATGGAAAATAATGAACTTTATCACAATATGCTAATTTTTTTAGAAGGACCTGTACTGTGACCATAAAGAACATTTGTAGAGCAGTTTTCTGTCTGATTATGTAAATGAATTGCACTGATTTCTTTCTGTCCTTTGTCATACATTAAATTCCCAAAATAAATAGCAGATGCACACCCTCTACAATCAAAACATTTGAAAGAAAAAAAGTTTGTTGGCTTTGAAATGCTGAAATAATAGATGTAGTGCTGAAGATGAAGACAGTCAGTGTTTGTTTGTGGTTAGTGGATCATGTTAATAGTTCATGTGATTCTCTACACCTGTGATTCCCCTATTTGAGGAGAAATTACCTCACACATTCAGTAAAAACACTTTAAACATCATGAAGAAAAATGACCCTATATTGTAGAGAAAAAATCCAGCACTAGATGTATTGTTTGGACATTTTTAGCAAACATGTACTTGCTATCTTTCTTTCCAACAATTGACCCTTGCCTTTATATTTTGATAATTGTATCTTAAGTTTCAAAATACCTTTTGAGGTCATTGTATAAAAATGAGGACAAACATTATGGATTTACATTTGTATTTGGTCATATAATATAAATGAAAACATAAAAAAACAAAAGGAATGAACCAAATATACAAACTCCCATTAAATAATAATAATAATAATAATGTAAACATCCTGGATCAATTAAAATAACTGATGAAAAAATTGACATATTTTTGATGCACCACAAAATTCAAATAGTTCTAAGAATGAGGCAAAATAAAATTACGAGAAGTCATATGCTTAGATCTTAATTCTAATAACCTTCCTCTTTATAGTTTGTGGATTCACTTTTCCCAACAGTCTTGACAGGAAATTGTCATCTTGTTTCATTCAGACCCATCCATGTATGCAATTATATTACAAATATATCAAATGCAAAAGCTTATGTAAGCAGTAATGGAAAAGGTCCCTGTAATTCACTTACAATGTCACTAATAGTCTGCGTGTCACTAGATGCAAAAAGGTCTCTGTATTCCCAACCAGTCAGACTGAATCTCCAAGCAGAAGCAATCTAATGTCGTACAGACGCATGATTAAAGTTCAGGTTCAGATTTGCTTCTTGTAGCCGTGGCTCATAATGATCCTGATATGCCCTGTACGACCGTTAAACATCTCTCTCTGTGTTTGATGCTCCTGTCATCCAACCTCCGTCATCGCAGGTTGACAGCAAGGGCGATGGTGACTATGACCCCACAAATCATCATGAACGGCAGCCAGGTCTTCAGGAACCCCACAAAGCTACAGGACAACAAGGAACAGAGCGCTTCAAATTAGCCATTTTAGCATCATGTCACCCGTGGCTTGATTTTAAAGACACTTAATATTCAGCAATATTGTCAATTTGACTGCACTGAAACTATCGGATGAGAAGAAAATGTGAATAATGACACTATTGTGTTCTGTTGAGCTGCTTTAAACAGTAGCTGAATTGACGAACCTTTCAACATCAACAGTTATTGAACTGAATTGAATCAACATTGAAATGAATTAAGCTAAAAAATATCACTACTTCTTTGAAGTTTGCATCATTGAAGGTTATTTTCCTGTTTATTACCGTGAAGCTGCTTAAAAATCTGTATTGTACAAAGCGCTATGTAAAGGTGACTTGACTCATGTAGATAAAAACATCATCCTTTTAGAGAAACAGGGTTTAGTTTAACCAAAAATGTAAATTATGTCATCATTTACTCTCCTTCATGTCATTCCAAATGCATATCTAAGGCAGAATGTCAAAGCGTGACACGAGGGTGAGAAAACAATGGCAGAATTGTCATTTTTTGAGAATAGTCTCACGCAGAAGCTTACAATCCACCTCTCGCTCTCTCCCAGAAACCCTTATTTTGTGTGTCCTGGTGTCCTCTACATCACAACACTGAGAGTCCCAGGTGGAAGACTGGTGACATATAAGGGGGAACACGGTGGCCGACTGCGATGAATCATTCAGTCAAAAGTAAGGACACACTGACTTCTAAATTCTAAGGCAGTATTGCATGGGTCCTTCACAGAGAAGGCAATCAGAATTTATTGAGCTCAGTGAAACAATCAAACCCAACACTGCAGATGCAATGTGGGAATTCATTGCATTTACATGTGTAATATGTTTGAGTATATTTAACCTAAAAGCATGCTAACATCAAACTATCACAATCAATTGTGTTCCCCATGCAGTTTTGTTTTAGAAGTGCACTTTACTTATTATGTATAGCACCATGGCCTAAAATTAACACTCACCAAGAGCCAAATGCGAGTAAAAACTGACGTTGGTGAGTATATGAAACAGTGTCAATTGCCAGTTGGCCGGTAACATTTTTATGAATTCTAACAATGCAATATTGTGAGAACATGACGTGAAATGATACTCGGGACAGTCGATTGGCCAGTGCTGCATCGCCACAATATTTAAGCCTTGCCAGCAGCTCATTTAAATATTCAAGCACAAGAAGACGCTAAAAGCAACTCAATTCGTAACTCGTGTGCTGTGGAAAGTTTAAACATCCGTGGTGCGCGCTCAGAAAGCTGTGTCTCAGACAGCGTGCGATACTGAATTGAGCTCTCTTTCACGTCTTCTTGCGCTTGAACAGACATGTTCAAACAAAATGATGTCAAAATGCCTGTCTTCTTGGCAAGCATCCTCATATAAATAGTCAGTTATGTCTTAAGTGAACATAAACAGTTGAGCAAGAAAATGCATGCGTTTCAGTATATTGGATCAGTGCATTCGCTCTTAAAGCGACAGCGCCTAATATTCCTGCTGCAGTCGGGGGTTTTTAATGTTAATCAAACAACGAAAGACAAAGAGAAATCACTCATTGCTCCAGACTGAATAACTTGTGTAACTTTAATAAGGATTAATGTATGTTTCATTGCTAGTAAAACATTTTTTCTATCATTCGATAATATTGTTTATTGAATTTCTTAAGTCACCGGCCATTAACAGGAATGGCAAAAACAGAAAAAACTGTTTAGTCCCACAGAAGGATATAAACAGCGACTAAGTGTTTAGAACAGCCATTGTAATCTCGCCAGCCTCTCTTCATCAGTACAACGCTGTTTTAAACAGCACAGCTAAACTTTTCAGAAGCGTTAGTCACTCACTTTTGTCAGGAAGAAATAATAATCAGACAATGTATATTTTTTACCATTATATAAATGAAAGTTGTGATAAACCGGGAGTAGTGACAGATCTTTTCTTCTGTATTGTGACTTGGTTCAATGCATTGGTCATTGATTGGATGATGAAATGTGGGCGTGGCACTCAAAAGTGCAGGCAGATCTGAATACAAGCTTGCAGTGGATTGTACAAAAGAGGAGGAGTTTAAGCGGACTAAATGATTGGAGAAGACCAGCATACGTCAATAGAGAGAAGTCTGTCCTTTCACTGAAAGATCTAGTTTTGATATTCTGATTAAACATTTCCAGGGTCAAACAAACGGATGAATCGTCCACAATAACATGCATTTAGAAAATAGATTTACATTTCCCGCTGGCCCGGCATCTCACCTGACATGTTTGCTGTGGATGAAGGACAGTAAGCAGAGTTTGACCATGTTCCACGAGGAGCAGTTGTCGTAGCGCATGAGGTTCAGAGCCATGGCCACATGAGAGTGGCAGTTATCACAACACAGATTGTGCTGCAATGCGGTGAGGACGTCACAAACAAGAAAAACAGAAAAGAACGTCAGTGAAAAACAGAGATATTAGGAAGTCGCTGTGTTTGTGTAATATAATTGGGTTGCGAAATTCATTTTTAACAAAACTTCTGTTAAGACTATCAAAATAGAACATACAAATAAATATATCGATTTATTAGACAAATACAATTTTATAATAATAATGATTATAATTATATTGTAAAAAAATATAAAAATAGACAAATGTCACATTTAAGCCTTATTAATAAATATATTACAATGACAATAAAATATATGGTAAATTGTTGAATGTATATAGATGTCACAATATATTATGCATTGTGTAAATAGGTGAATCTCATGAAAATAACTCCAGTTCACATTTCACCATAAAATCAGATGTCAAATGACGTCATTCACGACAATAACAAGTATATATTACAGTAGAGATCTGACCATTCTAGTTTTGTATTCCTCAGACGCCTCGTGCACGGCCATATCCCAGGCGTTTGCTCCACCGCCATACACTTTATTCTTATCCAGCCTCCAGTACCTGAAACAACAAGCATTAAATCCACATTTTAAATTTAAATGTATCCAAATGAATATTTTGTATCAATTATAGTTTATAGTCATGGCTTAACATTAACTTTTTTTGCACACCTGCGTGCCACTATAGCTAGTGGTTTTACTAGCCACTCAGTATTTTCACTGGCCACAATTGATACCATGTGGAAAAACTGCCATATATATATTTTTTATATTATCTCATAATTTGGCAGCAGGTATATTAGGCTGCTGGCACTTTAAGACCTGATGCACTGATCCATTATACTGTTACACATGCGTTTTCTTTCCAAACTGTTCACTTAAAAAATCGAAAAAACGAAAAATTGATATTTTTGACAACACTACAGTACATTGCATTTAGTTTATTATTTCAGATGTCTTTTTAATAGACCACTATTGAAACCTGTATTATGTATGAAATCCACCCTGCCAGAGTGACTGCGTTACACGCTACCGCTGAAATACACCAGCATTTGGCTAATGTCAAGCCCCGTAGTTAAGATTTCTTAATGAAATGTTTTACGGGGTAAAATAAAATGTATTATTAGTTTGAACGATTATGCTTAGTGAGAAAATATGTTTGATGTAGGACCAAATCTTTCCAATGTTTAAGTCTCATGTGTGCAGATGATAATTCTGATGATATCACATTCACTAGGGTTTTAAACTCACTTTGTTGGTTTTCCAAACGCCATGTTGTCCTCCTGTATAAAATATAAATGAAAGTAGTTAGTGCATCAGTGCAGTCAAGCTAAAGTCAGCGGAATCATCAGAAATAAACTCACTGATACGAAGTAAGGACCAGCGAAATCCCTGATCACACCGGTGGATGTGCATATGCCCATGTGCCCTATGAATGGCAGGAACCAGCTGCAGAGACCAAACAAAAAACACATCAACACAGAAATCCTCATCAGACCTGTGTATATTTGCAGCTTTTTGGTACGTTTCTCTAATAAAATACAGATATGTATGGATGGAAGCCTATTTTCCGCGACATAAGAAAAAAGAAAATCATGCTATGGTAAATCATAATTGGCATAACATTTCATAATTTTGATTCAAAAAGTCCAAATTATGGCATAAAAAGTCCATTATGAAATACTAATTCATAATTATGACATTAGAAGTCCAAATTATGACACACTAAATCGAAATTATGACATACTAATAATTTTGACTTTTTAATGCCATAATTATGAGACTAAATCATAATGAGATAATAAAAGTACAGATTATGACATACTGAGTCACAATTGAGTTTAAAAAGTCGAAATTGTGCTTTCTATAACCTTTTATGTCATATTTTTGACAGTTTTGTGTCATAATTACGGCTTTTTACTTCAGAATTTCGACTTCCATGGCATAATTTCCACTTTTTAAGTCATACTTTTGATTTAGTATATGTCATAATAATTTCGACGTTTTAAACGAAACATGACTGTGATTGACTTTTACAAAAGCATGATTTTGTTTCGTATGTGTTGGGAACGGGGTTCCATAGATGTGTGTGAGGATTAAAGGAGCTCAGTCGAGACAATATGACAGAAAGCGCTGACAGTAATATTGACAGACACAGTCACGTTTACTGTGAGAATGTGTTGGTGTTCCGCACGTGATCCGTCAGAACATCTCCGGTCGCTACTCACGTCAGAACCGGAATCGGTGTCCAGACGATGCAGTGCGGATAACGGCTCATTTCTTTGTCGATTTTCTCGAAACCTCCGTGGAAGTGTTTCATCGTGTCGATCTCGGTAACATCCGCCATCACAGTCTACGCGGTGACGTCATTGTGACGTCGGCGCCGTAGTGGTTCTCATTAGGTTATAATATTATTATCAACATACTATATTATAATATAATATAATAGTTTTTTTCAGTAACACTTTACTTAAAGCGTTCATATGTGTTGCATTATAAAAATATTTTAATACATTAATTATGCCTTGTAAATGAATGCACCTTATAATGCATTGTATGGTCTCATCATGAATAATTGTAACCACAATTATAATACATTATAATACTTATGTTACGCCTTTAGAAAGTATAATGCGTTAAAACACATGACAAACATACAATCTCAGACGCCACAAGGAATCTGCAAATATTGTATAATAATATGCATTTCAACTTTGGTTACAATTATTTATGAAAAAAGATGTAATGCATTATAACATACATTATGAATACCTTCATAATGCATTATACATTATACATAAAGGCTTTAAATAAAGTGTTACTGGTTTTTCTTTTTGTTAGAAAAAATTAAGAAAAAGCAGTACAACAAATACTACCATGATTACATATTTTGTTTATTGTTTTGCTTCACAGAGTAAGAATAGGATAAAAAGTATTACGGTTTCATACACCTTGTCTCATTTTGTAAATGTTGGAGTACCTTTTATATGTCTGCAGAACATTTACTAAAAAAACTCGGGAATAAAAAAGTATTACGGTAATGAGAATTTAGGGTGTATGCACTTAACTGTCTACGGTGCAAAAAATATTGTCTTAAAAATAGGTCTTATAATTTCTTCCCATGTACAAATCTGTGTAAAGACAAACCCAGGGCTTCATGCATTAAATCACAGCAGTATAAGAGCAGATGTGGCTTGTATAAGGGAGAAACATCCTCTCCAATCATTGCATTCATCCATATTGTAGTGTGACGTCTGGGTTGCCATACGACTAATGGTACTATTCTCACAGTGTAAAAAGTGGAGCACAGGACACTGGCCAATATATGAGGGGATTTGGGGGTGGGATGTGTTCTCCATTATCCCAGTAAAGCAAGACACATTTCTTACACTACACCAATGTGGATTGTGTTACATACTACTACAACTTACTACATATAATTTGGGGTAAAAAAATGTTTTAATGGTAACACCACGAAAACATGCATTAATTAACATTAACTAACAATGAGCAATATATTTGCTAAATGTTTTATTAATCTTTGTTTATGTTAGGTAAAAACACAACTGTTCGTTGTTAGTTCATGTCAGCTCACGTCCATTAAATAACATTTACAGATACAACATTAGATTAGTAAATGTTGAAATTAACATTAACTAAGATTAATAAATGCTTTAGAATTAGTTTTCCTTGTTAGTTCATGTTAAGTAATGTAGAAAACTAATGGAATTTTAACTTTTGTAAGTGCATCAAAATAGAAATGCAATGGAAAGGTTGCAAATGTAGTAGGTCACAGTTTACATACTACTCAATATATATAGGCAACTATAGTAGTATGCTATTCTGAACACAACTATGGCCTTGCAACCCATCTGGCCCAGATGCACGTTACACCTTCCTCATTACTGTATGTAGGTCAGGTGGCCTTTAGAGGACACGTGTTTTCTCCAGTTTGTGGCACAACATGACAGGAAATGAATTATACTTTAGGGGAAAAAAAACTATTCAGCAAAAAAACAGACTTTGACTAATTGTGTTTAGGGAAAGTGAATGTAAAAACTTCATCAAAGTAGCACACAGGGATTTGGCGGCGAGTGTATTTGCGTCAATTCAGAGCATCCAATCAGTTGCGAGACGAGAAGCACGTCTGCACTGGAAGGTGCATCATGGGATTGTTCAGTGATCATAAACAATCAGCTTGAGCTTGAAGCTACACTTTATCCTTAGTGAAATGAAAATGTTTCCAAACGAAATCCATCAGTTGCATGGGTTATTTTAGATGTAGGCCTAAATATATGATTAACACAAAAGTAGGACATTTAATGTATAATAAGTAAATTAATAAAATCACACATAATACCTGTAAATAAATTAATTTTATTTGAGACATGACTGGAGTAGCTGTGCAGCGTGTTTGTCTGGCGCTTCTAGTGTCGACGGCTCCACTGACTCTAATGAGAGCGATCTAGTTTGTCTCCGTCGCATTATTACCGTGTTTTAAAAAGCCAATAAAGTACGTTTAAGTCAAATAATATGTTTTCCTTTTTGGAAAAACTCCACCAAGGATCATGACAGTAACAACAGAAATGTTATTTATTTTTTACATCTTGCACTAAACTGTACTAAAATCTCAAAAGAAAATTAACACAGTGAACAAAAAAACAAAAAAAAAACACATATCCCAAAATAGACCCAATTGTTTCTTTTAACTGCAGTTAAATCTCTTCTTCTCATAGCAAGTTATAATCTTTGTGATAAGTCTCTTATTCTTGGTTTATCATCTCTTTTCAGGTTCATCAATGAAGATGAAAGGGCAACAGTCAGACGTCCTGCTTGTGCCGATGAAGAAAAAGGTAAAAAAAATTATAATAACAAATCCTTCCAAGATATCTGACAAAAAGCATTATCATGAACAACAAACATTTTCAGTCCCAGCAAACCACGACTTGATGAACATTCAGAATGCGGGTCTGGGCCGAACATAAACACCATTTATTATTCCAAAAGAAAGTGCTGCAGACCTATAAACATATAATAACACTCAGTTTACTGCCCTCTGGTGCTCATAAAGATGATTAAGTTCATTGGGAAAAGAAACAAAATGAGAACAGTGTCCAATAGCAAGCCCCACATATGAAAGACCCAAGCGCTTTGAGACTTTGGAAACAAGCTTTAATCTGACGGTGTGCCAACACTCTTCTAGCGCGCACTTTTTAAAATGATTTTGCAGACATTAATCTGTAAGTGCTTTTGACTTCACTTGGATTGTGCGATTGTGTTCCCCACTTCTCCAAACGTCTGCATAGTGCGGAGCGGCAAACATTCATTCACTCGGCATCATGTTGAAGAACTGAAATTGCAAAGGAAATATCTAAGGTGCTTTGCCGCCTTCTCAAATGCGGGACGGGTGCGTTCTAGCTAGAGCGGCACTGAACCTGGCCCTCTGAGCTGTCGTCCTCATCCGAGCCCTCGGCTCCTCTGCTGCTCAGGCCTGTGATGCGGTAGCCCATGTTCAACAGCATCACCTCCAGCGGATCCGCATTCATGCGCCGTTGGTTGGCTTGGGCCGCACTCTCCATGTCCTCCACCACCCGACAGTTCTCATTCTCCGACTGACGGTCGGCCACGCAGGATAGACAGAAGGGAAAAGTTACTTTTGGTGCAATCAACAGTCTGCTGATGTACTTTATCATTCTTTGTCTCGCCTCAAGATACATTCGATTAGTGCTGCACGATGTTGGAAAAAACGGACATTGCAATATTTTGAATAGCTCTATTTGGAAAGAATGAATCATTCTAGAGCAGGGCTTTTCAATCTTTCAGATGCCACAGACCCCCCGAAATATGATGATTCGTATTGGAGAACCCCCATCCTAAAATTTAAAAGAGAGCTTTATATTTGTATGTAAAAAGATCCAACTAACAGAGTGAAAAAAAAATGATATTATAAATGTGTAAACTATTTAGTTTCTATTAGCCTACTTCATTGCGTTGCAGATGTGAGTAAGATGTATTTTATACATGCATTTATTTTTTATATAAAAAACATCATTTTAATCAAATGTATGAATATGGGCTTATTTATTTATTTAAATGATATTTAATTTATTTTAATTTCAATTTATTTATTTAGTAAGTTTCATCTTATTTTTATTTATTTGTTTTTACACTGATTTTCTTATTATTTATTTAAATTCAATTGTATTTATTGTAGGGCTGTCAAATGATTAATCACGATTAATAACATCCAAAATAAAAGTTTTTTTTACATAATATATGTGGGTGCACTGTGTATAATTGTTTTGTATATATATATATATATATAAATACACACAAATGCATGTATATTTAAGATTTTTATTTATTTATATATAAAATATGTATATTTATATATAATATAAATTATATATAAATCTATATACAGTATATACATGAAAATATTTCTTAAATATATACAAGCATGTGTGTGTATTTATATATATAAAATAATTATACACAGTGCACCCACATATATTATGTAAAAAAAAAAAAAATTTTGGATGTGATTAATCACGATTAATCATTTGACAGCCCTAATTTATTGTAATCAAATATATTAATTTATTTTACTTTAATAAATTGTATTTATTTAAAGAATTTTTTTTATTCTAATACATTTTAGTTAGTTGGATCAATCGTATTTTTTAAGAAAATCAATGTTAGCAATCATTTATTCATCAGTCATAATGACACACGCCACTGATGTGACAAACGTGGCATTGGAGTCGGTTCGTACCTCCGGTCTCGGGTTCCACAGCCGCACTACGGGATCGATGCCGCTGGTGGCCAGGAAGCAGTAGCTGGGGTGTGGCTGTAGGCAGTTCACTATAGACTCGTCCCCCTGTAAGATCCGCACCAGGTTCGTTGTCTCTTTGTTCCAGATGAAAAATGACCCATCATCTGAACCGCTCACAATGTACTGGCCTTTACTGTAGAGCGACAACCAAACAAGTCATGTGCTGATGTCTTATATTCAGATCCTCGTTTAGCAACAGATATGACATGCATTATAGGCATGGACAAGAGATTCACATTAAAGGGGGAATTAACAAAAACTGTCAAAAATGACAGCGCTTTGCGTCATCTGGCAGACTTTTGCTGACAATGAAACTGGGATATCTGGGTGCAGGTAACACGGAGAAAGAGAATACATTGTTTTAATATACTACCAACACTGTAACAATATAAACCTGGTTAAAAATCAGCAAACTTGCCATTTAATGCATTTGGCAGATGCTTTTATCCGAGTGACTTACAATGCATTCAACATTGCATGTATTGCCTGAGAATCAACCCTGGTGTTCCAAGTGCTGTGCTTCACTGTTTGAGCTACAGG